TCTGCTTGAGAAGCAGAACAGCTTTTCCGAGATGAGTACGGCCTCGAAGACATCCGAAACCCAGATAGTTTATCTCGAAGCGCAGTCTTTACCATTTTGCGTGGTAGGCTTGCAGTGTCCGCGTCGCATTGACGAATTTAGTATTCGTGCGGTTTTCAATAGCGGTAAGGAAAGGTTTGGCTTGTTCAAATTTCAAGGCCCGGCTTTTACTGGCTTCTTCATGTAGTCCCTCATTTTCGATCACTGTGGTTTAGTCTTCGTACTCACGTAAATAACGCTGGTGTTTATAGTTGGTAAAGAAGTCACGGTACCTACTTTGAAAACTTGGCATTTGAGCACTTGCCAGCCTGTAAATAAAACTTTTGCAATTCTCGACGTAATTGTCCGGTGGTGTTCAGGGCAGATGATTCTCTAGGCAAATTGATAGGCTGCATGAAGATCTCAAGATTTCCTGCAAGCGGCATTCACCATAAAAATGGCCTTCGGAGGACATCGGTTTTACCTTATGCCAAGATTAGCGAAAAATCTTCAGTGGGAAGAACTTACTTCTTAATATTTAGTGCAAGATAAACAGCGTTATATATTACCATAAGTCTTAAGAAAAAAAAAAAACAGCAATGACATTCTTTTGTCCTGCGGCAACTAAGAAGCCTGTCGTGATCTGCCAAATAACGATCGCTTGAACGAGTACTAATGCAGGAACCTATGCAGAAGCTGTTCACTTTTGAAGCAATTTAGTGATTCCTTATCGCAAAGGTCGATTTCACATAAAAGGATAGAAGCCCCAGAAATCTAATATAAGACTAGCTTTCGCTCTTTGGAGTCCGGCAGCGTGAAAACTGTTTTGGTGTCTCAGTTGCACGTAGCATATCAAAGCAGTGTTTTCTTGAGTTATACGAGATGGGATTCAGAAAATTTGCTGCTGCCTTTCCTTCGTATCAAAGTTTATTTGTTGCTATCGTCTACTTTTTCTTGAAAAACAACACTTTTTTTTCTTGATAGCTTCGAACAGGTTTCAAACGGACCGCGTTCCCCTTCGCGACGCTTGTGAATGTATCGAGAATCCTGGTTTGTAGATCTCCCCAAGAGAGTTTTTTTTTTTTTTTCAAGATGCCAGGTGTTGCGTTAAGTTGTTATCTGATATTTCCGATGAGAATATATCCTTTCATTGAGGATGTACTTTTTTTCTTCATGGTTTGTTCGTATTGTTGTTTATGTTCCCAATTTATACTTCTGTTACCGACGAAGTCAGTATGGGTGACTACAGCCGCGCGGTTTTCTTGTTTAAGGTTGTCATGCCTGACACCTACTTTTCTTTTGCTTGAAAAAAGGAGATGGTGGTAAACGGGGACTATTAATGCGAATAAGTTTGCTACACTTGGACAATCACAATGAGGCGAGCATTTTTAAGAAAAATTATACAACAAAAATATTTCTATCTTGCGCTAACTTGTACCGGAGGACGCAGACTCAAATACACCAGAGATACAATCGACATTCGTTGGGAAGTCCCCCAGCAGCAGCCGTGCAGAAGGGGAAAAAAGAAAAAAGTAGAAAAAAATCTTGAAAATCTACATTCGTGCGCCTATCGCGCTGAGAGAAAATTCCGATGCCTTGCTTTGTGCCTGGCGTTCAGGCGGCTATTTGAGAAGCCTGTCGAGATTTGTGATGTATTAATCGCTCAAAAGATGGCTTATACAGGACCCGATCCAGATGCCGCTCGGTTTGCTACAATGTTATGAACACACATCACAAATGCTGATTGGTATAGAACCCCTATCAGAAATGTTGATTGGCAGAGACTGCTGGGCCTCGCTCGGCTGGATTCCGTTCCGACCGGTTGTGCCCTCGCGATCTCCGACGACAGCGCAGCTCTGGCCGACTGGCTCGCCCTCCGCCATCTTCTGACGCCGTGTAGCTCTCGCTGAGTGGTGCCCCGTCCTCGGTTGGACTTTTTCGATTGTGTCCTTCTTTCTCTATCTTCTCTTCTGTATGTGAGTGTCCTCATCTCTATCACATCCCTTTTAATCCTCCCTATCCATTTTCATCTCTCCTTACCCCCATTCCTCGTGAGCCACTGTTGACGTGTCGCACTATGATGCAGGCAGTTACGGGGCTCACTTTTCTCTTCTTTCCTGTCTTACTACATATTATTATAACTTATTACACACAGAGACTGCTGCGCCACGCGGCGCACGAGCCACCGCCACACAGTAATGGCTGCTGTGCCGCACGGAAGTTACCTCATGCACTTTTCCGGTTAGGCTCTTTGCTTGAATAGTTAGGGTGTCTAGCGTTACGTCTAGAGAGAACAATTGAAGTTGTTAAAGTTACGAGACGTAAAAATAAAGAAAAATGTCAGTTACGTTCAGTGTGACAACAATACAAAACCGCCTTGTTAAACCCTCCAAATCGATTGGCAGCTGTGACATAGTTGGTTTGCGCGGCTCATACAGGATGGGTGAGGTCAGTCATTCGAGACCTACTGCAGTATTCTGTTTTCTTTTTTTTCGCGCAAGTATTGCTTCAACAGTGACGCCTCCTCATCAGCCTCCCGTCAGTCTGACTTGCTGCTGGTGGTCCTGTCCACAGACCCAGAAATCTAACACAGGTAGTAGCTGTACAGGTCAGGCCTAATGCAGGTCAGAGTTATTATATCTTCAAAACAATAGGTATTCTAAAGTTTATTTTTATTTGCCCCGTTTGTTTGTGTAACCATCAACGTCACTAATGTGGCATGCGATACTGCAGGCACGCATTTTCTCTTTCGAGGTTTCCATTCCTTCAACATATTTTATGTATTTTTTTTACTTCGCTTGAGAAAGGAGGTGGTTGTCGGGAAAGCCTTTGTCGGGAAAGCCTTTGTCGGGAAAGCCTTTGTCGGGAAAGCCTGTTGTCGGGAAAGCCTTTGGAACTTCCGTAACAACATTACGGTGACCATTTCTTAAGGAAGTGTCCTGATGTACACAACAAAATATCTCTTTTTTATTCATATCAAAGACCCGACGCCCGCTCGAAAAAAAAAATAGTGAGACAATCGATTTTTGTTGGAAAGTGCCCAGACGGAACCATCTGAACCATTGGTTCTTCGGAAACATCACGCGGGTGCTTATAGCAGCTAGACGCCGAATAGTGCGGATTACGTGCGCCTCATTTTCGCTATCAAGATTGCAGCATCATTACCAGTATAGAACAGACAGCGCGCCATGTTCGAAATCACGTTGCCGCTCCTCCTTTCAAACAAGCTCGCCTGCATACACGAAACCACGCATGGTTTGATGAACGTTGGTGCCCGTTATGGCGTAAACGTGCTGTCAGCTCCTACTGAAGTGGATAATGTGTGTGATTTGGAGAATAGGGCGTTATGCCAGCAGGCAGTGAAAGAAAACAAATCTGTGTCCAATCACGTCCACAGATATGCGCCTTGCGCTACTGCTGTGGTTTATGCCATTCCACTGCGTTGCGGCTGCGAATACGTAGGCCAAACAAGGCGTTGCCTCAACCGGCGCCTACCTATATGATAGCATGAGCTGACGCTATCAGGTGCTGCAATCAGGTCTCATTTGGCAGCTGATTGTAGGTCATGTGGGTGTGTGCCCAGCAGCCCCGCTTACAGAAAAGGGCTATCAAATATAGAAATGTCGATCAGCGCACGCGTGAAATGGCCGAAGCATTTTTCATTAGATCGAATAACAAGTGCATAAGTCATCCATCTATCATTCTTTTAGATGAAGAATACGACTACCTGTTTGACATGTCTTGAATCATGTGGTGTTGTGAAACTTGTGCACATGCGCACAGTTTTGATGAGCGAATGTTTCCTGTATATGTTCCTTCCTTTTCCAAATGAATTTCTGTTGTGAGTTCAGCGCTGCGTCCCTTCACTGTCCGTATCTAAACGTTGCGCTGTAAAATATTCTACGATGAGCATCCACCAACTCTGCCAACCCGCGATTCTGCATTCAGCATTTTACTGAGAGCATGATCCCATTACATGAGAGAGGTGGATTGGCAAGACTACCCCTAAAGTAACCCACACCTATAAGGGCCACGCTTGACCCGCAGGTCGCGGGATCAAATCCCGGTGGCGGTGGCATGCATCTTCGATGGAGGCGAAAATGCTGTAGGCCTGTGTGCTCGAATTTGGATGCTCGTTGAGGAACCCCAGGTGGCCAGCATTTCCGAAGCCTTCCACTACGGCGTTTGTCATAATCATATGGCGGTTTTTGGATGTTAAGCCGCATATATCAATCAATCAATCATTCAATAAATCAAAAGGAACATGACACCCAACTTCCGTTCATATTCTGCGTTATGCGGGTTAGCCCTTGTGCGCTCACAAATAAGCTGGCTGAAACGTTAGCGCATTCGCATTTGGTCGAGCGCTTGATATATGGCTGGTTACTATTATAAACACTCGAGTAGCCTGAGAGTCCGGCAACACTGGCGCACTCGCGATCCATAACGCAACTAGCAGCTATAGCTGTGCGAACGATGAACCAACCCGCTGAAGTTCAGTTATTGTTGTCCACATTTCAACAAACGATATTGTTCCGGGGTCAGCTACGCGTGAAATCAATAATATCTGGGGCATTACGTCTCAAAATCACTATATGATTATGAGAGATCCCTTAGTGGGGAGGCTCATAAAATTTCTACCATCTGGGGCTCTTCAACTTGCAGGTGAATGTTATCTTCAGGGTAACCGATGAATATAGCCAGATGCCTTGAATGTGCGCTTCAGGGAGTTGTAGGCTACCTTCTTGCTTTTACACCATGTGTTAACACAATTGCTGTACAACTGCACTCAACTAACAGACTATTGCAAAGCTATGTGAAGTGTCCCTGAAAACGCTCAGAAATGACCGTGTTTTGCGTGCTTATATCTTACATAAAAGCCAGAAAAAAGACGGTAAAGTCGCACAGACTACAGCTATAAAGACAATGGGCTCGATTCTAAAATATAAGGAAAACACGAATGTAAAGTAGAGACAAATGGATATTTACCAATACTTTCTTTATTAGTTGTTGCACACCCTGAATCTGTGACGTCATGTGATGTTATAGCTATGTACAGTGCGCAGTAACGATAACTGCGCCGTATTGGCTGAGTGCTGAATCCAGAATCCTTCGATCTTCTGCGGCTGCTCGAAGCGACTAAGTTAGCGTATGGTGTGGTTGAGCCATGAATCCGCTGCTGCTTCCAGATTCGCTTCATGATCAGTCACAATGTTCTTCTTGTTGACGAGCAATGACAACAATGCCGCGGATAGGTCAAGAGGCAGAACAAGAAACGTGAAAAGTGAATGTATCGGATGATTCAACCGTTCACATTGTCGTTGCCTTTTCGCGGAGAGAACAATTGTCCAAAAAAGCTGCGCTTTGGAAAGAAAGTCTCTGTGGGAAGCTTTTCGTCGCCGTCGATATCACCACTGGATTCTGGCCTCAGGGTGCACGTGAAGTGGACGCCTTACCTAGCCCTTGTAGCCATATCCACCATACTTGAGGCCACCTCCAAATCCAAGACCACCACCATATCCAAGGCCACCACCGTATCCTCCACCATAACCGAGACCACCGCCGACGCCTCCGACACCGCTGTGAGCCACAATAGCGCCTCCACCGTGAACCTTGTTAACGTGGTGCACCGTCCTGATGAGGAACGCCGGTCCAGCAACAGTCTTGGCGAATCCGGGGCCTCCTCTGAGCAAGACCACGCTGCTTCCAACTCCAACTCCTCCTCCTCCGGCTCCGAGACCTCCGCCGTAGCCTAGGCCGCTTCCGTAGCCACCGTAGCCTCCACCGTATCCAAGACCACCGGCCATGGCGCAAACCACCAGATAGGAGCCTAGGAGAAGGGCAGCCTGCGGCAAACACCGAAGCGAGCACGACGACACGGTAAGTGTTCATAAAAGCAGCTGTGGAATGTTATAGTGTGAATTCAGTCAGTAAACAACGAAACTACACAAATAAGAAATAGCAAAAGCGTTCTTCTCCGGTCATTTAAATGTTCAAGTGAAGGCAGTGTACAGGAACCTGCTGTTACGGGTGCTTTGACAGCCGTGTTGTGTGAATGCAGTTGTCTCGGTGGTGCCATGCGAAAGCAATCATGATTATGTTCAGAAACGCTGCACAAAGGCTTCAAGGTATATTGAAGATGCAGTGCAGATGAAGCTCAGGCAAAGTTTTTAAGAAGCATGAAATAAGCCCGTTTTGTGAATTCCCATAGCTTTAGCTTTTGATGGAGTTATTGGAAAGCTATATATGCGGAATGGAGTAGGGTCCCCTATTTGAAAGCTTGTAATTGACCAGCCAACTTCTGGTGTCACTAAGAGCCTTGTCAACTTTGAGAACTGCTGCCGTGTATGCGCTGTCTGAAGGATACAATTGTAATTACCATATACAAAAAAAAAGATGGGCCGCATACTGGTAGCCCGCGGTACTAAGCAGTGACAAAGTGATGGTACGAACTAAACTTTTTTTTTTTGCAAAAGGGCATAGTGTTCAAATTCAAGAATCCTACAAGAAGAAGAATTGTTCGTAAGAAAAAGCTTCGGCCAATCATGTCGCTGAACGCTATACGTTTGCCAAGTACCTTGACCGACAAAAAAGATTGCTTCCTAAAGTATACGAATACCTCTTCTGGGCTTTTCGCGTGAGGATGTGTGCACGAGACAGGGAAAAAAAGAAAATTTTAAAGCTAAATTATGTGCGAAAAGAAGGTGAAGGAGGTCATCCTACTCGTTTACACCTCTCTAACCAATGCCTCCTAGGAAGCGTTGCTCGAAGAGATCATTCCTCTTTAGAAGAGCCCCCTAAAATCAGAAATGTAGCTGCGCATGGCAGCATACCGCAGATGCGGTATGCTGCCATGCGCTGCTCCTCGCCACTGAAAACTTTACAATGGTTAAGGGTAGAAAACCAGTTTCTACATTGCCACATAATGTGATTCATGTTGGCTTTGCTTTGAGGACGACGCCTGCAGGCTTAGCTACAGCATATTCCCGCTTGAGTTTCGTGACATAACGCCAATGGAAAGAAAACGTTCGAGTTTGTAGTTTACGCCTTAGCGGTTCGTGTGACGACCGACGCGTTAAAGTTGGGAAACTTCGGCGAATTACGCGGCAGTTCTGGCAACTGTCGTAGTAAGCAAGTTACCTGTCTCTGCAGCTTAATGCATGAAGTTCTATCCTCGGTTACGACAAGTAAAATCAGTATACGCACAGCTGGCTCAGAGCAACGTTAAGAACCGAGGAGTGGGCTGCCTTACCAGAGAGTTCATAGTGAGAATGCTTGCGTTATCCACTGGTCCCGGAGAACTGTGTGATCTGGCGTGGACACGGTGGCTCCTTATATACACGCACTCTTACCTCGGGTTTCGCGGTTTGTGTTACACCACCGCGGCATACCCTCTAACGAAGTCAGGTCAGCTTTATCTGTCCCTCTAAAATTCCGGAGCCCAAATGCTCGCTTTCGCCCGCTGGACACAATGACGACATGAAAGGACAAATTTGCATAATGCCCGAAAAGATCACCGATTCGGGTTGATTAGCCGGGCTTAACTTCCAAGCGAGTCATTTTACGGTTCGACTCTTCGGTGCAGTACCCTGTGTACTTCTCAGTCACGTTTGCTTCCGCCTAGGGAAAAAATTGTGTATTTATCCTCTGCCAACGTAGATTTCACGTGCAGCTATTCCTGATGCTAACGCTCCCTTGTCGCTTTCATTCCAAGAGGCGATAGTGAAGCCGCTTCCGGAATACTACACCCGCTTTGCCAGCTGTGAGAGCATGTGCGATATCGTATAGCGGTACAAATGGTTGTGAAATACTTCAAATACACAGAACTCGTCTGCGGTCCGAGTTGGCTGTTCTTTTATGTTTTTACGGAGAAACACCGCATTCCCAATTTCTGACTGGTATTATTTTAGTAATTGACCATCTGAATCTAACCAATGATCTTAGTTGACATTCTTGTTGAGTTTCTTTTTTTTCGTGAAAAAAAACGTCCTGAGTAGATTGTAATTGTCCTGCATGATTTCAAAACAAAATACGCTTTTCTCAGTCGCTGATGATTCATGTAACTGTGACATAACCCAAAGCACCGTGAAAGTGACGTTCTATGAACATGAGCACTATGCAGGTTGACTTCACAGCCTGTCCGAGCCACATCAGGAATATAGTTGACACGTTAGCGAACAAAAGAGATTTAAAACACTTGTGTACAACTTTATGTCTAATCCGCAGTTACGCAGGCGCATCGGCATGTTGTAGAATCTTCAAGACACTGCATGAGCCGATATTGATTGTATTTGTAAAAGCTGGCGCGAGAAATTGAATTGTCTTTATGACATCAAAAATGTGGCTTTGCCTATTGGCTGAGGTGGCGACGACAACGACGTTCATGCAACATCAGCGCCTTGTTCGTGAAGGCGTCTCCCTAACAAGTATTACATATTCCATACCGACGTAGCGGCTGCATTTGCGATGGAGGCGAAAATGCTGTAGGACCCGTGTAATCTGAGCACACGGCAGGCCCGCGTGCTCAGATTTAGGTGCACCCTAGAGAACCTCAGGGGGTCGAAACTTCCGGAGCCCTCCACTACGGTGTCTCTTATAATAATATGGTGGTTTTGGGACGTTAAACACTACATATCAATCAATCAATCAAACAATCAATCAATCTACACCAACGTATGTCCTGTGACGGGGCGGAGCGACTTTTTTTTTTGCGAGAAGCTCGTTCATATATTAAGCTTGCAAACTTTAACCACCGCCCTCCTCGAACTCTTGTTACGATAATGTCCCACGTGAACGTCGCTATGTCGAAGGGGGTGGCTGAACGTCGAACGAGCCTCCCAGCTTCCGCCGCAGTGCACGCAACTGCCGAACGGAAACTTTAAACCTCTCTCCACGAGTGAAAAGTCTGCATATGGTCCTTTGTTATCTTTTTTCTCACGGATATAGGCGCTCGCATCCGGGTCCGATTGCGGTCTGTTTGCATGCAGTGCCCGTAACGGCGATCAGATGCAATCGCAACAATGAAGGAAGAATTCTCCTAGCTCTTCTAGCCACCGCATAGTCGCGAGAATTGAAGCGGAAAGCTACGCTATAGGAGCGTGCATACCTGTCGGGAAGCCAAACGCAAAGTATAGCGGGCTTAGTAGTGTTTTTTTTTCTTTGTGTTTCCTCCGTCCCATTGCTTCCTGGGTCAAAAGAAGCAATAAATTTCGGGTGGTACTGGCTGAGAAGTGCGCACGCTCTCGGTTGCAACGGGGTCCCGTTTATCTCCGAATCGGAGGGGCGTCGCTCGTCTTCCTAAGTGTATTTTTCGAACGGGGAAGTAATTATTGCGTCGTTTCCTGTTTGAAGGCTGAATAAGTAACATGTCAGCGTACAGTCTGAGATTGGGTTCGAGAAATAAATAAAATACAATTCGTGCAGCTGGTTACCGCTGAATTTCGTCGAAGCTTATTCGTGAAGATTCTTCGGGTGGTCTTCAGTCCTCCGGTGAAATGATTAAGTGAACATCTGTGTCCAAAAATATTCTCTGCTGCGATGCATGCGAACAATTTCCAAGTATTCTGTTGTTTATGCGCACTGTGCTGACATGTACATATCTCGAAGTGGCGATTAAACCCCGCATTCTAGCACGTCCCTCCACTCAACGCATCCCCTTCACTTGAGAATGCCGATGGGAGCGCCATCTCTAGGCAGAGAAAGTCACTGCATATTAGCGATAATCTGCTGTGATTCTTGAGTAGCACAGCATCACTTTCAAACGAGCAGCGGGGCAGCGCTCAACTCTGTCAAGTGAATTGGGTAAAAGTCGAGTCAAGGAGTGTTTCTGAATACGGGAGTATCACTGCTACACTTGAAGCTTTCGCCGACAGCATTCCCGCTTAAGATTCCCAAATACTTGCTTCAAATGTTTATCTGTCGCATGCATTGTCACGTCGTGACAAGCTTGCACACGAACTGATTGTTTTAGTTATCTCTTATCACAACCACGAAATGCCCAAGTCATGCGCCTGTGGCTTGAACGGAAGGCGCACACGAATTATCAGCTTAACAAAGCAGGAAACTAGGCTAGCTCGTACGAATTCGTGATTACCTTGTGAGCGCTTGTTTTGTGTCTTTCGATCAGTTTTTGTTTTGAGCCCACGCTCTGCGCCAATTATGATTAGCCTAACCTTCGACAGTGTATCGACAAATGGGTGAGGCTTCTTGGGACACAATTTAAATCGAAATATGGTTATGGCATCAACCACCCGAAACGTACATAGCTAAAAACTCGGCCAATGACCCCGATTGAATGTGCCGCGAAAGTCCACCGTGATGAGATGTGCCGCCCTTGGTGATAGTGCGCTTTTACACAAGTACAAATGTGACGTGCTACCGCTATTAGGGTAGGTACAGTTCTTCCAAGGAAACGTGATGCCGCCCCGCCGTGGTGGTCCAGTGGCTAAGGTACTCGGCTGCTGACCCGCAGGTCGCAGGTTCGAATCCCAGCTGCGGCGGCTGCATTTCCGATGGAGGCGGAAATGTAGTAGGCCCATGTGGTCAGATTTGGTGCACGTTAAGGAACCCCAGGTGGTCGAAATTTCCGGAGCTCTCCACTACGGCGTCTCTCATAATCATGTGGTGGTTTTGGGACGTTAAACCCGACATATCAATCAATCAAGGGAACGAGATGTGTACTGGGAAGTACTTGCAATAAGGTTCCCAACTGCTGGCTTTGAAAAACTTGGCAGTACATACAGAAGTTGACGGTGAGATAACCTTGATGATGCTAAGCTTGTATACTTGAGAGAGGCCTCCGGAAGTATCAGCCTTAATCTTCGGGCATGTCCTCGCAAGGCACACGCATAGTCTATTCGTTTGAATCGTTGCGTTTGAGCTAGTTAATACGAACCCGCAGGACTTGCCTCGGGACATGGCTGCCCCGCAATGGTACGGGGGATCGAATCCCCACAACGACTGGTCGCATTTCGATGGAACGTAAATGCTTGAGGTCCGTGTATGTGTAGCTCTGGGTGCACGTAAACGAACACCAGATGGTCTAGGCTTCCTAAGCCCTCCATTTCGGCAGCCTTCATAATCATACCGTAGTGTTCGACTCGTATTTCTCGTTGCGCTAACACAGAAACCTAGAAGGACGAAACTGCAAGTGTTACCTTTTGTTACGTCATGAATGAAGCACATGGGTGGACAACCAGGTTCGATGGCTCAATATGCACTAACACCCTAATATTTCTTCGTTTAGTTTCTGTACACCTTTCAATAACCCCGATTCAGATCGTCGGTGTAGACAATAACTTCAATTGCCTCAGTTGGCACGATCATGCAATAGACGCTTGTGTGCCGCGCTAGCAGAACGGTAGATGATCGCATGACAGCACATCTGTTCTTTATCGATAACTCACTTTCTGCCGTGCGCAGCTGTACAGCTTCTGGCATTTTTTTTTTGGTAGATAGATATGTAGGGTTTAACGTCCTAAAACCACCACATGATTATGAGAGACGCCGTAGTGGAGGGCCCCGGAAATTTCTACCACCTGGGTTTCTTTAACGTTACCCAAATCTGAGCACACCAACCTACAAAATTTCCGCCTCCATCGGAAATGCAGCCACCGCAGCCGGGATTCGATCCCGCGACCTTCTGGCATTTTTTATGCTATGGCATAGTTCAAATCTACGTTTGCTTAGCTATAAACTTTCAGGCTTGTTTTATTTTGTCGCCAAGTAGAGTTTGACTCATACTCACGAAGAGCCTTGGCCAGGCTTGTCCGGCGTAGATTTGTCGCACGATTTTTTGTAACACTGTTTACTTCTTATTCGTGTGCGTCGAAAATCTTAAGCTGATCATCACTGTCCTATAGCTTGAAATTTTTTCCAGTACATACAAAAAAACTTACTTTGAGAGCGACATTTTTCAATCAGTTTATTTTCATTTTCTTAGCCTATGACACCATATGTCGTAGAAGTTTGTTTGAATAAAATAACAACCATTCAACATTACCAGACTTCAGAGACGCTGCTGTCGATTGAAATAAGCCTGTTCAGCTCTATATGTACAGGCCGTACCACGTAAGCGATGGTGATTTTGTTACGGGTGCCGCAGACTTTGCGACCATACGCGTCACCCTGGGTAGGTAGGCCTTGAGGCCGGAAAATAGGCTTGCGATCAAGAAGACGAGGGCACAGGCGATGGCCAGCGCCATCATGGCACCAGGAACGTTCAACAGGGCTATGCACCTGTCGCTTCCTAGAGGTGACTCGTCTTGTTGAGCCTGAGCAATGAGGGGCACC